CCAAACTTATGGCCGCAGCTTTACTAAATATCGTTTGCAAAGAAAATATTTAAGTAAAAATATCAAATATACGATAAACATCTAGTATATCGATACCCTCCAGAATATCCTTATCTCATTAGGTCGGTAAATAATTATATCACGTGGGTCAATTATCTTATTTCTAAAGTTTTCGTTGTTAAAGTTTCTGATTTTTTATAATACTTTGGTTCCAATTATATCAAAATAAATTGATAAGCTAGGTTACTTTAAATGATTAGTTTAACCTTGGTGCCAGGTTGTTTATTCAATAAATTTACTTCACAATGCATTCTGCAATTATATATAGATGCAAATATATAGTTAATATATATGATTAATAATAATGAATAATAAACGTTCGTAATTACGGACCAATTTGGTTAGTTTGATAATTACGAACAAAAATTACGAACGTAGAAATATATTTAAAATGTATGAGATATTTCTCACATTTTATTCATGATTTCTAACTAACGTTCGTAATTTAAAAACACTTTAACCAGTTCAATATTTCTAACAAAATATTAGTTTTTTGTCTAACAATGCATGTAAAATAGAAAACGTTACATAATGTTTTATACTACTACGCAAAATATATTTAAACTTTCCTCATTAACTCAATAAATTATAATACATAAATCATGAGAAAAAAGATCAATTAGAAATTTCAAAATCTTGTGAAACAATTGAATTAATGCTTGGTATGAGATGATAATGGTATTGACTCTGGTTTGATATAAACCACAGAAAGCAGAGCTTTCTCTGCTCTTAATACCTCAAATACCAGAATATATTTAATGATATAGATATATAATATTAGATATATAACTTACCTGGTCCAGCAGTAGAAACCAATCATGATTAGTGACAGCTATGAGATTTAAGATATTAAGAAGGGAATAATAGGGTTCATTTACTCTTAACTGTGACTAACTTTAGCTGTCACAATCTGGAGATGTTACTTTTTAGATGTTATAAAAGCTGTCAAAATTCCTTATAGACATTTTAAAAAACTGCTGTCTATCATAAAGTGTTATGATTGTACAGTGAAAGTGTACACTGTACTATTGTCAGAAATAACAGTTTTTAAATGTATTATTGTTAGAGACGCAAATAATAAATGTATTATTGACATAGACAGTTTAAAAATGTATTGATGCTAGAGACAACAGTTTATAAACGTATGGTTGACATTGACAACAGTTTAATAATGTATTTTTTTCAAAGAAAACAGATTATAAATGCATTGTTATCGTTAACAACAGTTTAAAAATGTCATGTTTTCATAGGCATCCGTTTACAAAAGTAAAATGACAGAGAGAGTTTTAAATACATAATTGTCAGAAGCAACAGTTTATAAATCATAGTTGACAAAGACAACAGTATAATAATTGATTGTTACAGATTGATTGTTTATAAATGCATTGTTGTAAGCAACAGCAGTCTACAAATACATTGTTGTCAGAGACAACAGTTTATAAATTCATTGTTGTCAAAAAGAAAAGTTTATAACTGCATTGTTGACAGAGACAACCGGTTATAAATGCATAGCTTACCAAGCTTGTTTACGTTATCTTTTTCAATTTTTATTAACAGCTTTATTTTAATAATCTGAATTTAGATGTTAATCAAACATAAAATCTCCTTATTCATGTTGCTGTGTAATCATTTACCTGATCCAAATCGATCAAAATACTCTCATCTACTTTTGTTAAATTTCCACACCTTTAAACGGAAGGTTCACAATTCTCATTGGTTTTTCTCTTAAGTTTATGAACCCTCCTGCTTTGATAGTACCAGGCTATCCCGCCAAAACATATTTAAAACTCACCTTAAAAGTTAAAAGGGATTATCAGCGTCATCTAAAGTGACACCCCCTTCCCCCACTAAAAAGTTGAATGGCCGAGTCACCATGTTACCCCTCATAGCTTTATCTAAGTAACAATAAGGTAAGACCTGCACAAATCCGCAAGTCACTTTTATAGAGAAACAACAATTGAAAATAATCAATTTTCAGATATGCAAACAAAATAAGGTTACGTGAAAAGACTCTTTAAAATGCTTGAGTTTGACCCTCACCCCCCCCCCCCCACCTTCATCCTTGGATTAGATCTAATACTGCATGTTGCTGTTGCTTATCAGTTTTTTCCTCTAAATTGATCTTTCTTCTTGTTCAATGATTTAATCTTACCATTTACGGACTTCTGCACCCCTATTCCACCTACGTGTTATAGTGTGTTCCATTAAACATGAAAGTTGTAAGCAAACTTGAAGATCGTCTTTTAATCTTAAAACAATTTGCGGCACTTATTCGTCAGTATTACTTTTTCTAGCTTGAATTTTGAAACAAGAAAAAAATTTCAAGGTTTCAGATTCATATTTGTAAAAAGCATGAGTTATCAGCTTAAAGATCATGCACAGACAAATATTACATTTTAAAGACAACTTAACATTAAATTTAATATAAATTATGTGCTTCAATTGGCCTAATTTTTACCGTGATGAAAGTTCTCTGACAGAATATTTTATTTTGTTTTAAAGAGAATGTTAATCTTTATTTTACAAAGAGAGCATTTTCTATTTTAGTCGTTTTTTATCTGGCATTTATACTTGGACACATTATACCATGTAGGGTGTTTACTCCAGGGGCGGATACAAGGGGGGGGCGGGGAGATATTTGCCCCCCCCCCCTGAGATTTCGAGGCAAAAAATGTTCCTAATTTGATAAATGTTATTGTTAACGATAAATTTAGAATTAGAAATTTGTAATAAACTAGACTTAAGTTATAATATTGTTCATCTAGTAATGTTCCTTAATCAATACTCATTTATCAAAATTGTAATATTGTTCCTAATTTTCATGCATATAAGTATAACTAGTTATTTCTTTTTGTTCTTAAATTGATAATGTTCCTAATATTGTTCCTGTTCCTGTGTCCGACCCACCTTAAATCCCTGTCCTAATCCTATATTTTTGTTCCTAATTCCTGAACAATCTTTTAATTGTTCCTAAATTCCTGTTCTAATCCTTTAATTTTGTTCCTATAACTTAAAAATCTAGCTTTTTAGTCTTTATGCATTAATTTTGACTCTTTTTGAGTCTTATAAGTCACGATTTTTTGTTCCTAATTATTCATTTTTTGTTCCTAAAAAATCTTGCCTCCCCTCACTTAAATCCTGTATCCGCCCCTGGTTTACTCTCCACTAAACGTTACTTTATCTTAGGCCAGAGTACTGCAAATCACTGCAGAACACACCGAAAACTTAGTTGAGGGTGTGTTACTTAAAAAAAACACAAAATGGTAGAACCCAAAATTAACCAACAGAATCAGATAGAACCCAATAAATGATAAGAACAGGACTAAGACTAATTGATGGAAAAAACAACGACGTAAACACCTCAATCAACCTTGAAAAGAGAGATCAAGTATGTATACAAATTAGTAATTAAGCCAGTGATGGAGATATCATAAAGTGAATATTTCTGGTACCATATTTCTGGCAATCAGACAAACAACTTATTCAGCTTTATTTTATATTTTATAAATACTCCAAAGAGAAAGTGTTAAATGAAAAGCAAATTTTAAAAAATATGGTTAACCCTGAATATATTTCTAAAAAGAAATTGTTTTTGCAGGCGTTACTGGCTTATATAACATGTCAGGTTCGGTTCGTCTAAGAAAAAGATAAAAAAGGAAGTCATATTGATAAAGGACACCAATGATTGATATAAAAACATCAAAGTAGTGTGCAAACCTTAAAAATGATTCATTTTCTAGTTCTTAATTAAGATATTTTCTGTTGTTTTTGAGATGTTTTTAATCACTGTTGAGATATTTTTTTGTTGTTTTTGAGATGTTTTCTGTGTTTTACAGAGGTTTTGAATTATTAGTGAGATATTTTCTTTTGTTTTTAAGATGTTTTCAATCGCTGTTGAGATATTTTTAGTTGTTTTCTTTTTTAAATATTTTCTTTGTTTTCAATATGTCTTAATGACCAAAAGATTTATCAGTTCTACACTCATATACCTCGATACCGAATTTGATATTAACTATGGATCATACAGTGAAACCCTTAATAACGAATACATCGGAAGAATTTATTAAATGTCGGCTTGACAATTTTTCAATGGGTTTTATACTATACTACGTAAATTTCAGTATTTTCGAAAATAAATAAATAGCCATGAATATGCGGGAACAGTTTTAAAGAGTTCCATTTAATTATTTAATTAAAAAACTAAATATCTGCATTATCAGAAAGTGAAGAATACGACATTTGATGAATTCTTTCGATGAATTCCTTATTAAGGGTTTCACTGTATAACGTTCAGATACAGGAGCAGCTGATCTTCGAGAGGCAGGAAGCTCGAACATTTGATTCTACAAGAAGCAAAGAACGTGGCAACACTTTTAACTATATTACTCGTAAATTTTTGAGAAATTTTCACAAAACCGAAAAAATTTTGACTCGGTAAAAGTTTTGACTTAATAACTTTCGGTCATTTATCATGATAAAACTGGCCTATTAAGATGATTTTTAAATTCACAAACCTTTAAAATGAATGCAGAAAACTTTCATTATATATAATGTTTAAAATATTCGAAATGCTTTTTATAAGCATTTTCGATATATATTGCCTACATGAAAATATAAAAGATTTTCTATCCTATAGTTTAACCTCGTGCGCAGATAGAAATCTCGTCCTAAATGAACCTGGACATATTTTAATAATTATGATATAAAATGTAATATCTATTAAAAATGCTATTAAATATCGTGCATTAATCTATATTGTAAACGCTTATCACGGAAATATAAAGATTTTGTTTTAAAAAAAATATGTCTTAGATCTCTGACGAAATATACTTTCCATACTTTCCTCACATTTTCATATGATTTCAACGCTTTTTTACAAATTTTCTATACCGTCAATAAATAAATTATAAATCATCGATCTACATATTTTGTTTTCAGAAAAATGAATTTCTAAAATGAGTACGCTCAGCACCCTTCCTCCCCGGTACAGGCAGTCAGGGGGAGGAGCAGGAGGCGTAGTCGGGGGCAGAGCTGCCGGGGGAGGAGCAGGAGACGTAGTCGGGGGCAGAGCTGCCGGGGGAGGATCCAGGCTTTTGCAAATACAGGTAATTTGGTAAATGCTATTATTTGTCGAAAATAAAATATTTTTTTACATTTTAACAACGCAAAACATCAACAATTCCAGTTAGAATTTCAAATTTTCCAAAATTGTCTGAGGTCTGATTTAATGAACAAAGAAACTATTTTAACTATAAGTACGGTGACCGAATTTAAAGAATTTGGGCGGCGGTTTAAATTTAAGCCGCGGTTTAAATATGGTTGGTTCCACTTAAAATTGTATCAAATGTTTCAATATTTAAACCGGCACTTAATTTAAACCGGGTTTTGGCGGATTTAAACCACGGCTCAAGTTCTTTAAATTCCATCTCGGATATAACGAATCCTTCCTTTAAATATTTTAAGAGTATTAAATAAAAAGTATAGATTAACTCACAAGTACATTTAACTAAACTAAATTAGTTGTGAATTTATAATTTATTTAATTCGAATTATATAAAAAGAACCGTCTAACGGGAAAATGTATTGTTTTTGCGACTAATGCAGTTTTAATTAACGCCTCTAGAAATAATAATGATACTGATTAAAACACGAGAACAAAGAAGAGAAAAATAATACTTTTTATTATAAAATCATCCCAGTCATGCGACTGTTTACACAAAAATGGTTGAATGATTTAGAATTTTGTTCCTAGAGCATCCAGGGGTGGTAAGGGGTAAATATTTTCCAGAACTCTCAAACATCGATTAATAAATTACTACATTATAAAAATTTAAAACAAATCAAATGTGGGCGCAAAATTTGTGTCATTCAAATAGTCATCCCTACGCCACTTTGTTCATTTTTGAAAGAATAATTCTCATGCTTTGAAAGTTTGGAAGTTACGATTGAAAATACAGTTCAAAATTAAAGGGACCGGCGGGGGGGGGGGGGTATTATTTTTTGTTAGTGAAATAGTCATCACAGAATCTATCGTTCATTTTCAACTAGATAGTAGATACCTCTCATGCTTTGAGAGTTTTGAAGTTTCGAGAATAATCTTTTATTGAATTTACTAATTTTTTATTGTCCCCCCCCCCCGCCTCCCCCCCCTTCCTCTGTTAGTCTGTTTTCCCAATATTTGTCATTTTATCTAGTTTTTATATCTTGAGGTCTTTGTATTAGTAATACCCAGCTATCCAAGCGTGAACTATATCTGAAAAGTAATAGAAATAAATGAAAAATATCTAAAACTATGGTTTAAACTAAAAAAGCAACATAGAATTACGATTAGTTTTAAATTTTATTATACTTACAATTAAAAAACTAGGATACATGTTGCCCAATGTCGTAACCTTAGATATTTCAAACAATATTTTGTTTGATCAAATAATAAAGTTTAAATCCTCAGGTTTGCAATAGGGATTATAAATTAGGGCTTTGTCCAATGGCTTAATTACCTAAAACAGTATTAAAAAACTTACATATAAAAGCACCAGAGTTTCAAAATTCAAAATTCAAATACAAAGTAAGTTTGTTTGAAACGGGATACACATCTTCCGACTTGGACTGAACATTTTTTCCGAACTGGCAAATTTTGAATTTAATGAATCACATCAACTCATTAAATTTTACAAAAAAGATTAACTGAGCTCTAAAAGATCAAATTTGTTTAGCCTAGACTAGTAACATTTATTTTGCAGTTATTTTATCTTACTGTACTTGTTACAAAAAGCAAGATGTTTAAATAATCCGAGCAGTGTAATTAGATAATTTCTAGATACTACAGTAGATATTTTAGATATTGTAGTACTATAAAAAATTACTTTAATTTTTAAAAAAATTATGAGAGGAATGCCAAATTCACAATGGTACCTTTACAGCCTGTATCGGATCAATAATATGAAATATATAGTCTTTTTCTAGCCTAAAAATGCTTGATTCTGACAATTTGCTCGATTGTTTCTATAGCAAAAATATTTTTTTTTAATAAGACAAATCTTTCAAATGTAATAGTGTAAATCGGTTATGCCACTCCATAAAAGAAATTTGAAATTACGTCTACAGTCCGTTTTAACTTCTTCAAAATATCAATAAATCAAATCAATCGATTAATTAAAATTTTTGATGTAGGCAAAGCTACAAGCCAGACAACTTCAAGAGAAAGAGGAGAAACTATTTAACCTGTTGGAGGATAGAAAGGTACTGATCTCAATTAATAGCAATAACAATAGTAATAGTAATAATAATAATATTTATAGTAATAATAGTAATAATTCAGATAAGAATAATAATAATACTAACAATAATAATAACTATGATAATGATAAAAATAATAATGATAATAATAATAATAATATTAAAAATAATAATAACAATAATGATAATAATAATAAAAATATTAATAACATGGATGAAAATAACATAATAAAACTAGAAGGTATAAGAGAAGGTCGAGAACCAACTTTTTAGAAATCTTGAAAACTGTCATTGTCCAAGAAGGGAATAAAAGAGGGTATTATTGAAGAATTTGGGAGGGAAATGGAGACGAGGGTGAGGGGTGGCTGAAAAGGAGAGATAGGGTACATGGGGAAGGGGGAAAGTTTTCTAGAGGGAAAACTATACAACTTTTGATCTGTTCTAAGCATTTTTTTTTGATTGTGCAGCATAATAATGGCAGTATATTCAGTTTATTTCAAAACTAATATTTTCAGGTCATATGAAAAAGTTTAATAATAGGATATTGAGGAAAGATGAAAAATGCTTGAATTAAAAAAAATCTTTTCAGAAATGAGCAAAACATTTATCTGTAATTCAACTGTATTTGCATTAAAAGTAATATATTTAAAAAGAAGTTTTATAAGACTAAAGAAAACAAGTTTAAACAATTCTGAAAATCGTAATATTTTTATTGTTAGTTACAATAGAAATGACTAACAATTAAAAAATGGTAAAGAGGATGAATAACCATGTTTTCTAGCAAAGTATTGCAGAAATATGAATTGATAAAAAGAAATGTAGGAAAAATCAAAAAAATTCTGTAAATCGCAATTTGTTTATTAATCTATATATAAATTTGGCTTGTCTGTCTGTTTGTCTGTTATTTTGTTTGTATCCAATAAACGTCAAAACGGCTGAACCGATCGGGCCCAAATTTGTTGTGGGACATCACGTGACGACAGGGAAGGTTTATAAATGATAAAAATTTAAAAAAATGTGTTTTAATGTTTTTAATTTTGTAAAAAAAATTAGATTCTTGAAAATCTTCGAAATTTTTTTTAAAAATCTGCAAAGTTTTTTTCTTCTTTGTTTTAAAATGTAAACAAAAAGAACATGCTCACAATTTAAATAGAAGATGGGCGCGAAGAGCCCTAAAAACCTAGAAAGAAGGGCGCGAATTGAATTTCTAGTTAATTAAAAAAGAATTGATTGTAAATAAATGAAAAATGTTATAGAAGATGAATTACCATAGTTTCTATATATATATATTTATATAATATATACAATTGTATTGCATGAGATAGGTAGAGGGAACTATAGAAAATATACCAATAAAGTGAAGAGGGGAATCGTGTAGGAAAAAGGGAACAAAAGGAAACAAGGAAAATGAAGCAATTGAAAAAGAAAAACGAGAAAGAAAAATAATTTGAAAAGAAGTGATCAAATGAAAAGAAAAAAAGAGATAACGAATTGTTGAAAGGTGAAGAAAAGAAAGAAAAAAAACGCGTCAAAAGAAAATGAAAGGGAAAGTAAAAAAGAAATAAAAAAGAGATATTTAAAGAAATGTGAGGAAGAATAGATTGAAAATAGGAAAAGAAAAAAGATAAGAATGACAAGGAACTAAAATTTAACAAGAAAAATCACGAGAAAAAAATACTATAATAATAAATTAGAATAATGAAAAAATTTGTTGAAAAAAAAAATAAAAAAGTGAAAGGTTAATGAAAGATCTTTTTCGCAAACCAGAAAAAAACTGGATTTAGTAAGTTGTACGATTAGCATTGCGTAGACCTGGCCGGAAGAAAATTGCTAAAAGAAGGATATTAAAGTTTTTAAAAAAAATAGGAAAAAGAAATACCAAGAGAAATGAAATAAAAGATTAGATTTAAAAGAAACTTTTTCGAAAACTTTCAATGATATGTAGTAAGTTCTGTAATTATGATTAAGAAAGAGGAGGGGATACTGATAATGGAAATATTTTTGTTAGAGTTTTTAATTTCACGATTATTTGTATGTTACAAGTGGCATAGACAAGGTTAGTCCCCCCCCCCGCCCCCCTNATTGTTTGTAGGGCAGAACATTGTGCCAATTGTTTTAGGTAATTTGTTTTACAAGTTCAATTTTCATTTTTGTTCATAATTGATGATGATTTAGGTACAGGACCTTATAAAGAAATTTCCCCTCCGAATTCATATATAGATGTAAAGGTAAAATGATATCGGGAATTTTAAAAAGAGGAGATAATAATGATAATAATAATAATAATAATAATAATAAAAATAATAATAATAAAAATAATAATAATAATAATAAAAATAATAATAATAATAATAATAATAATAATATCTAAGGAGCCGGTGCTTCCACGACTAGGAAGAGAGAATGTTTACAGTGGAAACTCTTTAACTTCTTCGTCAAGTTCTGTCAGGTTCTTTTATCAGTTTTTAGATTAAAAAATAAAATTTAATCTATACAGTTGGACCCCAAAAAATGCGGAACAGACAGACAGACAAGTTTTAGACTTTAGATATGATTGCAAATATGCACATGGACAGAAAACACAGAAATTTTGCAGTATATTCACTACTAATAAGTTTAGTTTCTATCTGCTGAGCTGAAAACTTTAGAATGAGATATCCTTAATCCCGATTACTTAATCTGAGTATCCCATGGACACACTTTTGATTTTCTTCTTAAACCGCTCTTTCTTGAATATATAAGAGAAAAATCATAAACGGTTTGTTTAAAAAAGAGAGTCCCTCCCGTTTCTGTATATTAAACGCACCTCTGCCCTTTAGTAAAAGTAAATTCAACCTATATGAAGCATTGTTGCACCAGCTTGTCCTGTCCATAGAGATAGGTACAGTACAAACTGGGGCCGGAAAGGTTGACCCGGCTCGGAAATTCAAATGTACTACGGCTGCCCGTAATTAATCTTAAATGGCGCGCAAAATTTCAAATCTATCGGCTTCATGTACGAGACTCTGATTAGTTGAATTTTATACACTTTTCAGGATACAAGTACAAGATTAGGTTAGTCTCGATATTAAGAAAAAGATAGGATCAACCATTTTAAAGTGTTCAGCTCTGGTGAACTACCTATTCCGCAGCTTAATTGGGACAGCGAAGAAACTTGTTGATTGTAAATTCTTAAAAAGATTGTTAAAGGGTGTCCATATGTTTATGTTTTATCTTTAAAACTTAATTATTTTTATTTCAGTTTCTCTGTTAAAGTGACGAACACTTTACAAAACAAGAAAAGACAATGTTTTCTGCAATATTGATAAAATAAAGGATTTGTGTTTATGGTCATACCTCTCTATAGTGGAGGGTCACTGAAAGTACTACCACAGTCCCTTTAAAAAATTATCTTAGAGAAAAAATTTAATTTGTTGAAATATTTATTCAGCAACCTTGTCGGTTTAAATAAAACTGGCAGAATTGGTGACGTCTTATTGGATCTTAAGCCGAAAAAAACTAACACATTTCAATTGTTTCCACAGAACATTTATGTTTTTAGTTAAACCTGGTTTAAAATGAACAAAATTCATAAAATTTCTACTCAGAATAAGAACGGGTTTCTCTTCCTTTTTCCTGTTATTTTTCATTATCTGTCCAGTTTCTATATCAATCACAAACTGAACTGAACAGAAGAAGGTCTAATTTATGCAACTTTGCGGCCTCTTAACTCCTCTGTTTTGATTTTACGCACAAGTTTACGCACAAGTTTACGAAATTTTATCCGTTTACATTTGGGGAATTTAAAACATTGAGAACATAAAAGATTTTAATCTTACGTTCAATTTATTTTGGTTTGTCGTGGTCGATCTGCAACGGAACTTTTAAGATTTTAAAGGTTTTTCCTGCAAACACTGAAGGGGGGGGGGTGATTTTACATTTTTTTAGACACTTGAGACAGAAAGTAGTCTAGAGAAAATATATTTAGACGTTCCTAGAAATATTATATGCAAAAACTTAGGTTTAAGGTGAACTCTGTCTATCTTGAGACCTTGAAGCTAAAGTAAACAAATACTTTTATCCAATATCAATAAAAATGATGTAGCAATAATCTCTCATAAATCGCTGTATTTTTTAAATCATTTCAAATTATTTCAAATGTTTAAAAACAATTTAATCAAATTAATATTTTTTATCAGATGTGGAGGCAGATTTCTTTTTTTAAATATTCTTAAAAATTGACTTTCTGAACAAATGCTGCCGTTTTGTTTTATCATATTCTTGAGAATTAGAGCTATCACCAGGGATTTAGGGGGAAAATGTTTTTAAAAAGCAAGGGAGGTATTTTTTAATAAATTTATGTATACCTTTTATCTATGGTCATATCTATTTTTATTTTTTTTTGGTTTTTGGTTCTCAAATGATTATTATTCTTTGTGAAAAAAAAATTATCTGACATCAGCTGTTAACTAAAAAACGAAAAAAAAGAATCAGTTATCTTTGTAGATTAATTGCGATAATACTGGAGTGTTTTGTTTTCATTTTAGAGAGTTCTTGTGGTCAAATTTTAGGATACCCTAACCCTCTGGCCTTTAATTTAAGTCGTTTGACTCGTTTTCTTAAATCCTTTGTTTAAACATCTCTTATGGATTTCACTATAGTCTTATCTTAATTCAAAAGCGTGTTCTCATCCAAGAGATAAAAGTATAAACACAACAAATCAATCCTGTGCTTACAAATGTGGTTTCGAAAAAGTTTTTAACCAATGACAGTAGTTTTAAAAGTTGCAAACTCCTTCTTAATGACAATGCAGCAAACTAAATATACAAGGTTTTCAAAAACAAAACACAAAAATTAATCTAGTATGACTTGAAAATATGAAATTTTAAACAAAAAAAGTATAAAAAGATAATTTAAATAAAATGTGATGCCTCACAAACTTAGACAACAATAATTATTGTAAAACTTAGCTTTGCTATCTTAGAATTTTAAAAATGTCTAAACTTTTATTGTCTGGTAGTTGTATAATGATGTAAAACTTCAAACTGCATAATCACTGTGAAGGTGTAATTAGGGTTTCTTTTATTCCGTGAAATTCTGAAAATTCGAGATTGGAGTCTCAATGCTTGCAAAAGAATCCAAATTAGCACATCGCAATAATTTGCAAATATTTTCTTGAATTTGTGGGGAAGGGCAGGTTTTTTTAAATATCTTAGTTTTCTTTTTAATTGTTAGATTTAATAGGATTAAAAAGTTTATAATCTCTTTTTTATTTGCAACCTGTTAGTGTAAACCTTTGATTTTTCAAAATTAGATAAGTTGATATACCTGAACAAATAGTTTGAAATATCTAAGGTCTACGACATTGGGTTAGCAAATTTTATAGGATTAGAATCTGAGAGTCAATTCATGTAAATTAAAGATAGAAATGTTTAAATTTAGTTTCTTGCAAAGACTGTCAAGGAAGGGGCCGGAGGTATAAAAAGAGAGCTGTTTTATTTATTTATTTGAAAACGGAGTGTAAAGACCCATACTTAAAAAAATGTTTTCTGGAATATTTTAGGCTTAGTTCTCTTGAAATTAAACCCTGCATTGTGGTTGAAAGGTCATTAAAACTTAATCAAGTAACCAATACTCCAAAGAAATTTAGTTCTTGCCACCAACTCATATTTTCGAAATCCTATATCTTTGCAACCTTATAGGGTAAATTTTTATATTTCAAACTTAGATTATTTGATCTAACAGAATTCACTGTTTAAAATATCTCGCGTGGTATCAATTATCATTCTCAACATTAATTTTTCATTTTCTTTAAATTGGGATTTAGTCGAGTTTTTTTTTCTAGTTAATATAATGAAAATATTAAAAATTGATGAATATGCTGTTATACTTGATGAATGTTGGTGAATATTGATGAATAATAATAAATAATTCTAGTATGTTTGCGGGTCGGCCTGTCCTAGGTGGGGGTCAAGTGCGTCAGATTTTCCAAGAGCGAAGCAAAACCAGTAATACAAGGAATTCAAGGTAAATTATATTATTGTATATATTTTGCAAACTATTTAAGAGTTATCTACAAAAGATGATACTTAATGACCACCTACACCTCTCTATGTCTCTTTTTTATAAGTAACCCTGCATTTTACTATTAATTTAAATCTATGCATTCCAAATATTTGGACAAAAGTTACTTTTAACTTTAAAGTCAAGAAGTTCACTGTTTTAGGTTGAAAGCCTTTTAGCTTTTCAATATAATTGTTCGTGACACTCCAATTGAAGAAGGACATGCTATATTCACACCAATACCCTTTTCACCTTTGTCTGAGCTAAAATATTGAAGAAATCCTTAGTTTTCTACTCAAAAAATTATAAATCTAGATCATGGTTAACTCTTAAAAGTGATTTCCAGAATTGAAACTTCAGAATTTATCAGTTTTTAAGAAAGAAAATTATCATTATCATTCATTTGATTATTAACTAACCCCATTTTCAATGTGATTAATGTTTATTTTAAGAAGAAGTCCTGTTGGCTGGGACAAGAGCTACCCTTTAAGACCAGTTGAGGTACTTTTACTTTTATATTTCTATTAGGAACAATGACGTAAAATTATTCGGATTTGTTTGTTTTTGATTGTGGAGTTCCAACATTTTTAACAAACCTAAATTTTGTTTTGTTTTTAACACTCCATCGGACAAAAACCTCTTTTGGAGTCATGTTAGAAATACCACACATTAATTATATATTATGATTTTTTCAAAACTTCTTTTTCATGAAATTTTCTTCCATTCCTACAAATAATCTAAAGCTTTTAACTTTAATTCTATACTAAACATGTTATGGTTTAGAAATATAAATGGCCTTTTTACGTTGAATTCAACTCGTTTCACAAACAAATATTGTTTTCAACAGAATAGTTAATGAATTTTATGTGATATTTATTAATATCCTAACATTTACGGTTAGCCTATCACGTTAACTTTTTTAAGTTGATTAATTCAATGTCAATTTATTTTTACGTTATTTAAGATTAATATCAAATTGACGATAATTCTGATTTGAGTAATCCTTCAATTAAAGTGTTCAAAGGGGTTTCTTGTGAATTTTTTATATCATAATCTTAAAAAGTATCTTAATTTCAACATTAAGTAAGCTTTTCTTTTGAAAGCACGGTGATTGCAAGCCATGTCCGATTCACAACGTTAACCTGTAAACCAATGTTTCTGATAAACAATTGTGGATCCTTGATTGGTCTTAATGCTTAATGCATGGGTACCGTTTTAAATCTTAAACGCTTATTAATTAATTGAGGCTCACTTGAAATTGCACGTCAACGGTCCACAGTCACATAAAGGTTTTTTAAATTTAAATTTTCTTTCTATTTTCTTTCAGGTTGAGCCACGGACCCCACATGTTCCTGTTTACAAACAAAATATTACAAGAACAAATAGTTATAATAAATACAGCGGGAATTACGGGGTTAACAAGGTGGGTGATATACCTAACATATTGGTAATGATGTAGAAATTATTAACATATTTCTCATGGTGTAAGAAATAACATATAACTCATAGAACGAGAAATTACTAACATATTACTTATTCTGTTAGATATAGCTAACAGATCTACTAATAGTGTAAGATAAAGATGTAACATATTTACTTTTACTGTGAGAAATAACTGACACATTTACTCATAGTATGAGATATAACTAACATTATTATTATTGATGTGAGAAACATAATTGTTTATGGTATATGATATAAATAACATTTTCACTCGTGGTTAGAGAAATAACTAACATGTTTTAGTGTGGTTTGAGAAATTGTTTCTCAAGATATTATTTCGGAAACCACTTTAAAACATGTTAGTCATTTCTCAATTAATTAGGATAGAGTATCATTTCGCTTAATTCCTGAAAATGTGGCGCTTGATTTTAGTAGTTAAAGAGGCAACCTATACTTTCCTCCTAATCAGCTGGAACTAAGGATAAATCGAAGTTTATGAATTCTTAATATCGAGTTCAGTTTTCATGAGTTTTCGAAGATTTTAGCTAAAATTTACAGACTTAAAGGGACTGTAAAGGAAAAATGAAAGGGGGTATGGGATGAAACCTGAGAATCTCAGAAGTTGTGGATGATATGTGGTTGATATTTGGATGATATGTGGGTGATATTTGGATGATATGTGTAATGTATGAATGATATCTGGATGATATGTGGGTGATATCTGGATGATATGTGGGTGATATCTAGATGATATGTAGATGATATCACCCACATATCATCCAGATGATATCACCAATCCAATCCAGTATTCTTCTTCAAAAATTCACCCATCACCATTCCTCCATCTGTAATAATCTAAATTATCACTCATACATACAAACAGCACATATCTTTAACAATTGCATATTAAATATATGATATACTGTATTAACTTAACGTTATACCTGTTACAAGACTGTCTAAGTGGAACTTCTATTTAACAAATCAAGAATTTACTGACATTGATTCTAACGGTAACATCGATTTACTTCAAAATGATAGAAATTTTGAAACAATGTATTTACTAAAATAGTTGCATAACATTTCTTACATATCAATTCTTTCGAAAAATCATCAAATATAATTAAATTCTCACTTAATAATGCATTTTTGTGCAGTTGAGGTTTCGTGAATATATTCACACAGAAACTGGGATTGAAAAGTCGAGTTTAAGTCGAGTTTATTCACCCAGATTTCAACCAGTTGCCCGCATAGAACAAACGACCCTGTTTTAGAGTCTGAAAACGACCCGCACGACCCCAAAAACTGGCGCCGGTCCGACTCTGTTTTAGTACTAATAAAAGAGTCGTTTTTAGACCGAAAAG